TATATATATATATAATGAATTATGTGTATGTTTATGATGGACTGAAGCTAATCTGACTCTCATCTCGATGACATCAGTGAGTCAGTACAGCAGCCTGGTCGGGACACCATCAGCATCACTACACCCACGTTTCTAAGTCGCAGCTATCCGCCTGCCTCATCTTCCCCTGTCAGATTATTGGAGACATAGAACGCCCATCACATGGAGCCAGCTCTGGGGCTTTCCCTATCCGCATGCGATGTCGGAAGTGGTCGCCCTTTCCCTGCCCTCCATTGGACTGATCCGCTGTCAGTCGGTTTCCCTCACGCTCAGCACCGTCTGCCTCCCCGGCTCCTTGTCTGCTAAGACCGCCGTCATATTGGCTGCTAGAGGCTGCAGCGACCACGGAACAGATCAAAACCCCCACCATGACGACGAACGGGTTTTCGCGGCGTTTACGTATTAATTAGACTTTTTTAAAAATCCCTTTTAACCAGTTTTTACCCTATTGTTGTAGGAATGTTCGGGATGGTACCTTCAAGTATCCGAGTACCTTTAATGCTCTTGGTCCGCAGAGAGGATCCCTGCCTGACTTCTCTTATTAGCCGTTTTTTGCAGACAAAGAGAGCTGTTGAATAAGGCTGTCACAGAGCTCTTGGGTAAGTAGCAAATTCTAGAAACATTTTATAGCATGTTTATCACCTATACATTAACATTTGTAGTATTCCAAGACAATATAAATCACTTTTTTTATTTGCTGATTTTTTTTCTTTTTTTTAAGCTAACACGCTAACCCTGCTAAGCAACCGATGCTAACTGAAACGCTGGAAAACCCTACTATCCTCAATGCTAGCCCTTAGCATCTTTGACAGCTCGTAAGCCCGTACGACAGTTTGGGTAATTAAAATTAGTTAATTTCATCGTAGTACTCAAGATAAATGAGCAAAGCATTTGAGGAATAATTATTAGAGTAGTTTATATTGTTTTTTTTTTTTTTGTATATTTAACTGTGCGTTTGCTGTGGATGGTAAACGTGTTAGCGGTGAAGCTAAGTTGATTGGGAACAGGAAAAAGTGGGGCCTCCGCGAACCTAAAGGCCTTACAGTCATTTCTGTAGTTCAGCTTTTATATTGACATCGTTTCAACGATGTATCCAATGGTGTCTTTGCGTGCTTTCGGGATATAACAACAATTGTTAGTTACGATGGTTTCCGAGCGGTGATAACCTTTAAGCTTTTAACAAATCGGAATATACCGGTGTTTCCATAGGGAAGTTATTTATGTAAGACAATATCGTGCATTTTAACAATGTTCTGTATACATATTGGTCTTATAGAGACCAGAGTTTTGATGACTTGTCTAACATTTTTGCTAAATAAACAAATTCAATTCTAGGTTTTTTGGCCAGTACTGAACTGAAACAGTATAACACATAGTAACAGGTTTTATTTCAGATGTACTGTATAATCAGATCAACAATGATTTAGTAGTCTATTATTTATTAAATCAATATATGTCACTCACTGTTTGTATTCACCTGTTGTTCAAGGTGAATTCACAGGTTGGAAAATATCTGTCTAATCCTTCCAGTTCTTTTTATAATGGGAGTTTATTTTGTGTGGATCCAATGTTATTATCCAACCAAAGTATTTCAGATTTTTAAAATAGGAGGTACAATCTCCCAAGGAGTGCATTAGGGCAGTATTATAGTCCACATCTATTTACAGTTGTAAAATTAGTTTATAAAAAGTTAAATAGTAAAACCAGTCAAAGCCAAGGACAGTCATGTTTAATTATGCAAGATTACTGTATGATTACTGTATGACAAATCTGACTCAGATTTCATTATCTATTTTCTCCTTGAATTTTGTTGGTAATTAAAGAGCTTCAAAAGGCAACGTGTAAAAGTCTATTGGTGTGAAAATAAACATAGACATCAACCAAGTAAAAACAATGTCAGACTAGTCTTAAACAGACTGCTATCTTTTTCTCCTACTTCATAATTTTATAGGGTCAAGCAACCTTGACAAAGCAACTAATTAGATTACACTGTTTGACATTAACTAAAATGTTCACCAAATAAATTAACATTAGGGTTGTATTTTTGGAGCGCTGTAGCTTTTTTAACACTAGCTGTAAAAAATAATTATTGTTAGGCAAACTCTGATAGATAGATGGTAGTTTGTTGTTAATTAGTAGTTAATTGGTGACGCTCATTGTTTTATGAGTCATTCACATGTTTTTAGGGCCCATATCTTGTAATAAGATGAATGATTATAATATATTCTAACAAAATTATCATAATAATGCAGGTAGCTTGTTTGTTATAATTTTCCCAAACAATTCTGTTGCCTCTGATGCTTTATTGCTTTAGGTTTATTTTGAGCACCTGCTCAATTTGACGGAACTGCTTTAATTTAATGTTAAGAAAGCATTTCAGTTACATTTTACATGCAGCTATATATCAATGAGCGTAGGGTAGGAAGTGTCACCATTACAGATAATGAAAATCTGGTATGCTGTGATTGCATGGCTACAAATCCCTAAAAATCTGAGGTGTTATTGGTGTCTTATTAACTTGCAGTTAGATAAGAGCAGAAAAAGCATCCTTCCTTAATCTTGTCTCCTCTCCAGCCATCTCTTAGATCAGTTGATCCCAGGAGAATGGGTGTGTTGAGCTGCCAGAAAGCAGAGGTACCCTAGATTTCTTTTTCAGGTTGACTTGAAATACTGGTAAACTGCATTTCTTTATTGGTGTGAGTGGAGATTATCAGTGGCGACTGTCATATTAAATTACACAAGGCTTTTGCGGTTTTAGTAATAACTCATAAATATTCTGAGGAGAATTCTGTTTGAGAATTTGCAGTTGTAGTTTTGCATCGCAGCAAAATGTTTTTGCTGCAAGTTCAGAGTCACAGGATTAAGCAGTAGAGAATAGATGGATGGATGGTTATCAATAGAGAGACTAACCTCCACCCTTTTACTTTGTTAATTAAATAGCAATATTTAATGTCCATGTCTGGATCCCACCCTAGCGTTGTTTGGGTTAACATAAATTATACAAATTTTCTCGATTTATTTTGTTGAGATGCGTGCTGTCTTTAATTGTAATTTGATTTAAATGATGAAATTAAAACAATTTACAACAGGGATAAGTTGCCAAAAAGCAAACTAATTAGCAGTGGGTACTTTAATGGACATGGCTGACACAACCATTTTGTCTCTTTTTAGTAATATTTGGTCAAAAGAAAAAATGTGCCTCACAGGAGAAAGATTTTATCATATGAGTAACTAGCGTTGCCTTTTTTGGGATACCACTGCATTACTACTCGTCAAAGATGTCTCTACACTTGGGCACAGAGAGCTGTTAGAGCTTTGAATAGTATGATTTTACTCACTATCTTACATAAATTAGGGGCTAAACATTTTCATCTGAATTATTTTCCACAAAGTACAAACTTTTTATGAGCTTTGCTTACAGTGCCTATATTTAGACATAAAAAATGCTATTGTCAGATTTCTCTCAGCATTTGGGATGAGGAAGCAGAAAGGTTTTAGCTTCAGCAAAAGGACCAAACATGGTACCTACTTATTTGCATTTATACTTTTATGCAATTCAAGAGTTGTATAAAAAATAAATATAAGTAATAAATATATATAAAAACCAGACAGTGTTCTAATTTGTATATCAAACGCAATTATATATATCTATAATTGTATGATTTTTAATCATACATTTTATGTAATTGTTTAACAAAAATTATTAGTATCATTTTGATTAAAATGTGGTTTTGAATATTTAAGGTGCACTGAGCTCGGACAGAGGTTAAGCATCTTGACTTGCACAGTGATGATTACTTGCCTAATGTAGAGAACAGTAGTGGCGGCAGTGGTTTTCTTCTTAATATGAATATTACAAACTGTTGCTCTGTCTGTTTATACTCTTATAGATGGGTTGCCAATTTGAGCATCCTAAACTGTAGTCAATTCTCTCTTTTTTTGTACCAGTTATGAATTGATATGTGACTTAGTGTGTAGTATTTTATATTTAGTTGATTACATCAGCCAAGCATATGTTTTGTAGCTCTGTCTTTGTATTTTTGTCAGACACTGACCTGATTACTACAAAAGAGTAACCTTTGGTAACACAATTCTGTAAGTCTCATGGGTCTATATCTAATCAGAGCCAGAAACTTTGCCATGCAGTTGTTTTTACCTTGGCCATTGTCTGCTGGTGTATATATATATATATATATATATATATATATATAAAACATAACTGTCCATATATGTAATGAAATATGAAATATGAAATGCTCAATGTCCAAATTAAAGATATTTCTTAACCCTCTAATCCCTTATTTCCAGATGAACAGGGTAGTCCCATCAGAAATGACATATGGAATAAAAAAGAAGCCCATATAACCAAATAGACTAGACCTTTGCTTAAGTGATTTTAAATTCACCACTAGCCATTATAAACGATCTGACTGAATTGTTTTACTGAACATAAGTTAAGTGCACATAGATAGATATCATTAGTTATCAACAGCAGTGGAACTGCCTACAACAAATGATTCTGATCAGTCATGTGTTTTTGCACAAATGCTGAAACCTTGCCCTTTCACCAATGACTGTGCAAAGTTTAATGTCTTTTAAGTCTGCGTCCAGACTGAGAGGATGCCAGGTTGGTGATAACTAACTAACATCTTTGTAGAATCCCCTGAGGTTTTTCAGTTTGACAGGCCACATACCTGTGGTGACTTTGCTCAATGTTTGGTCGTACTACTTCCAAATACCTCTCTAATTCTAGTAGTGATAAATCAATGGCATACGTGAGTGTGTATTTGCATGTTGCCCTGTCTGTTGCTCTTACAGAGAAAGTTTTTGGTCAGGTCTAGACTGGCTCTGTAATACAGTACATACCAGCAGATCAGCTGTGAGCAGATCCTGGGTTCATTTATAGCTGTGGCCTTGTGTCCCTGCATGTCTGCCTGGCAACTTCTAACTCTGCTGTTCCAACTACTCAAGCTTTCCCATCTCTCAGACACTTTAGCCCGTTATACTCACACCATGTCTAATTACTAGATACACAGTAGTCTGGGGAATTTAAATGTAGGGCTGCCTTTAAATAGCTTGTACCTTGGTGGTAAATGTGTGTGTTTCTGTTGTTGCAAGTTGCTCATTTTTTTTATTCTGTTATTCCAGGTCCTAAGGACTCTTTTGAAGAAGAAAGTGGGCAACATGTGGAGCAACCTGAAGAGTAAATGCCAGACATTATTTCACAACAACAGTTTGGAACCCAGTGAAAAAAGGATTGAGGCAGATGCTGTCCACTGTGTAGTGGATCTTGGCCAAGGAGGCAGCTCAAGTGATGCACACACATCAGGATCTTCAAGCCCGTTGAGGAACCCTTTACCAGTGCCAATGGTACCAGCAGGGCGCCGCCATCACAACTGTGTGTCAGACATACCGCAGATAGTAGAGATCAGTATAGATAAAGACACAGAGGATGTTCGAGGGGGCCCAGAGGGTGTTCCCCTGGCGCGTAGAGACTCGTATTCACGACATGCTCCGTGGGGGGGTAAGAAAAAACATTCATGTTCCACCAAAACCCAGAGCTCTCTGGAGGGAGAAAGGCGGTCTGGACGTTTACAAAGAAGTGTGAACCGCAGAGACAGGCGTAATGGAGTCAGCTCTATCCAGGAGATGAGCGACACTGTGTCTGGTGGATGTAATCTCAACGGTCGGTCTTTGCGTCAACGGCTTAGTGATACAGTAGGACTCTGCTTACCCCTGCCAGCACGAAGACGCTCTCGTTCAACTAAGAACCCCATCACCTCTAAGCGTAAAATTCACCTTACTGAACTTATGCTAGAGACCTGCCCTTTCCCACCCGGGTCAGATCTGGCTCATAAGTGGCACTTGATTAAACAACACACAGCACCTGTCAGCCCTCATTCCTCCACTGCTCTGCTTGATGCCTTTGACCCAGCCCACACCTCTCCAGAGGATGAAGAAGAACGTCTGCGTGAGCGTCGCAGACTTAGCATCGAGGAGGGTGTGGACCCACCACCTAATGCACAGATCCACACCCTTGAGGCCTCAGTGCCGGGCACTTCTCTCTACAAACTGGGACCAAAGATGGCTCCTGGCATAACAGAGGCCTCTGGGGATGGCCGTGTTTCTGGATCTAGCAACTCCATTGTTGCAGGTCCATCAGGGGCTTGTGGGCAGGTCTTGGGGCCAGCAGCCACTTCACAAGACTGTGATTCAGAGGAGGATTCTACCACCCTCTGTCTGCAAGCCAGAAGGCCCAAGCAGAGGCATGCCTCTGGAGAGGGTCACCTGAGCCGACAGCAACCTGGACCCTGGAAAGTGCACACCCAGATAGACTACATCCATTGTCTGGTGCCAGACTTATTGCAGATCACAGCTCTGCCCTGTTACTGGGGTGTGATGGACCGATATGAGGCAGAAGCTCTTCTGGATGGACGGCCAGAAGGCACCTTCTTGCTGCGTGATTCAGCTCAGGAGGACTACCTCTTCTCCGTTAGCTTCCGCCGTTACAACCGCCCCTTGCATGCCCGC